GGGGAGGAATCTTTCTGCATTTATTCAACATGATTGAAAAAAAGGATTCAACAGTAAGAGAATGGGTACATTAAATTTGTCCCCTTGAGGAACTCATAGGCATTCATCAAAATCACAATTACAAAAGAGGATAAAAAATGCTTATAAAATGATTACAGTAGAATGATAATAATAGTGGGTGGGGAAAAAACCCAGAAATGAAATTATAAAGATTGAACATGCATATGAACAGTTAGAAAAACAAAATGAAACCAGTGTGCTCTGTTGTGGGACAGTGGAGGAATTTTCCCTTGTTTAGGTTTATGTGACTATTTGTTGTGCAATGAACAGCAATAAAAGACCCAAATGATCTCTCTGGGAAGGGGTGGCTGATTGTCAGCTGTCCCCATATGGACCAAGTTTCAGTCCAGTTTCCTGCTCAGGGAGCAGGGCCCAGAGCTGGTAGGTGAGGAGGCAGCTGATGGGCAGGGCTTGGGACCTCCCAGGGTGCAAAGGACTAGCTGGACTTAGGGACCCCCACAGAGGGAAGGAGGGGCTAGGAGAGCTGGGGAAGACAGAGGCAAGGAAGAAAACTGTCCACTTCAGGATCTCGGCCCTGGGCAGATGTGGCCTTGAATCAGCCCTGGGGCTTCAATCTGGGAGGTTGCACTGTTACTCTTAGCCACTCGAGGTCCCAGTTTGAAAACCAGAACTCAAGGTCCCAGTTTGAGAACCAAAACTCAAAGTGTTCTCACAACTTCTGATAAGCCGTGGTGTCTCTTGGAGCTCCAGGGGCATCATGAGAAGAGACTGACATGAAATTATCAGGCTTTTTATTCTCCAACAGCCCTGTCTTAATACTTGTCACCCAATCGGGTTCCATGATTGGACAGACACACTGGTTCTAGAATCAGATCCTGGCTGATGATGATTTCTCCAGCGGGCAATTCCTGTGGTTACCTGGGCTGTGACTGGGTTATGGATTCATTTCCCCCAGAGCTCTTCCTTGCAAAGGATGTGAACTCATCCTTTTTTTATGGCTGCATAGTATTCCATGGTGTATATGTGCCACATTTTCTTAATCCAGTCTGTCATTGATGGACATTTGGGTTGGTTCCAAGTCTTTGCTATTGTGAATAGTGCTGCAATAAACATACATGTGCATGTGTCTTTATAGTAGCATAATTTATGATCCTTTGGGTATATACCCAGTAATGGGATTGCTGGGTCAAATGGTATTTCTAGTTCTAGATCCTTGAGGGATCGCCACAGTCTTACGCAATGGTTGAACTAATTTACACTCCCACCAACAGTGTAAAAGCATTCTTATTTCTCCACATCCTCTCCAGCATCTGCTGTTTCCTGACTTTTTAATGATAGCCATTCTAACTGCCGTGAGATGGTATCTCATTGTGGTTTTGATTTACATTTCTCTGATGACCAGTGATGATGGGCATTTTTTCATGTGTCTGTTGGCTTCATAGATGTCTTCTTTTGAGAAGTGTCTGTTCATATCCTTTGCCCACTTTTTGATGGGGTGGTTTGCTTTTTTGTTGTAAATTTGTTTGAGTTCTTTGTAGATTCTGGATATTAGCCATTTGTCAGATGGGTAAATTGCAAAAATTTTCTCCCATTCTGTAGTTTGCCTGTTCATTCTGATGGTCGTTTCTTTTGCCAGGCAGAAGCTCTTTAGTTTAATTAGATCCCATTTGTCTATTTTGGCTTTTTTACCATTGCTTTTGGTGTTTTAGTCATGAAGTCCTTGCCCATGCCTATGTCCTGAATGGTATTGCCTAGGTTTTCTTCTAGGGTTTTTATGATTTTAGGTAACATTTAAGTCTTTAATCCATCTTGAATTGATTTTTGTATAAGGTGTAAGGAAGGGATCCAGTTTCAGCTTTTCACATATGGCTAGCCAGTTTTCCCAGCACCATTTATTAAATAGGAAATCCTTTCCCTATTTATTGTTTTTGTCAGGTTTGTCAAAGATATGTTGGTTGTAGATGTGGAGTGTTATTTCTGAGGTGTCTGTTCTGTTCCATTGGTCTATATATCTGTTTTGGTACCAGTACCATGCTGTTTTGGTTACTGTAGCCTTGTAGTGTAGTTTGAAGTCAGGTAGCGTGATGCCTCCAGCTTTGTTCTTTTTGCTTAGGATTGTCTTGGTAATGCAGGCTCTTTTTTGGTTCCATATGAACTTTAAAGTTATTTTTTCCAATTCTATGAAGAAAGTCATTGGTAGCTTGATGGGGATAGCATCAAATCTATAAATTACCTCGGGCAGTGTGGCCATTTTCATGATATTGATTCTTCCTATCCATGAGCATGGAATGTTCTTCCATTTGTTTGTGTCCTCTTTTATTTTGTTTAGCAGTGATTTGTAGTTCTCCTTGAAGAGGTCCTTCGCATCCCTTGTAAGATGGATTCCTAGGTATTTTATTCTCTTTGTAGCAATTGTGAATAGGAGTTCATTCATGATTTGGCTCTCTATTTGTCTGTTATTGGTGTATAGGAATGCTTGTGATTATTGCACATTGATTTTGTATCCTGAGACTTTGCTGAAGTTGCTTATCAGTTTAAGGAGGTTTTGGGCTGAGATGATGGGGTTTTCTAAATATACAATCATGTCATCTGCAAACAGGGACAATTTGACTTCCTCTTTTCCTAGTTGAATGCAGGGAGGCAAATTTTAAGTCCAAACAGAATACAGAAAATTCTGACAGTCAGTACTAACTGATGATGGAGAGACTGGTATAAGCAGGGGCGCCAGGACCCCTTTGCAATGTGACCTTCTTAAAGTGCTGGGTAGGAGAGAAGTCGAGGCAAGGCTCCAAGACCCCTTCAGCCCTGTGAGCCTCTAAGCCTAAGCTGGAATGACTTATCTCCTCCAGGGTGGCCACAAATGCCATGTGCTTCCAGAAGCATCACTGAAAGATTGTAACAGCTGGTCTTTCCATAGCTCGAGAGCCCTCACAAGCTATATCTCCCATTCTCAATGTGAAGTTCTGAATGAGAACTTATTCCATCTGATTTTTCTCATTGTTTGAACAAGCTGTGTACCAGGTTACCCGGTTACCTCCAAGATGTTCAAGGCGGAATTTGTTCTGTGCCTCATCTGCCCCAACTCCTACCTATCCCACCACCAGGTCTTATTTCCCTTTCTCTGGTATGCAGAGCAGAGTGGGGAACAGCTGTGGACAGGACACAGCTAACAGACAATGAGCATCCCTAGACATCCCTACTCAGGATTTGTACCATACCTGAGTCAGCACAGTCCACGACCTCCCAGGAGATACAAGGATGCTAGATTCTAATGATGAAGACACACATCACTCTTCTTAGTATTGTGCAATAGCTGCTTGTAACCAAGAAAAGGGAACCCTCCAAGAGGAAGGGGTAGGGGATCACTGGGATGGGTTTCTTGCTGAAGAGGAACTAGGGGATCTAGAAGAAGAAGCAGGGTTGGGTGCAGTGGCTCATACCTGTAATCCCAACACTTTGGGAGGCCAAGGTGGGCAGATCACAAGGACAAGAGATCGAGACCATCCTGGCCAACATGGTGAAACCCCATCCCTACTAAAAATACAAAAATTAGTTGGGCGTGGTAGCATGTACCTGTAGTCCCAGCTACTTGGGAGGTTGAAGCAGGAGAATTGCTTGAACCTGGGAGGCGGAGGTTGCAGTGAGCCAAGATCGAACCACTGCACTCCAGCCTGGTGACAGAGTGAGACTCTGTCTCAAAACAAACAAACAACACAAAGAAGTAGAAGATACAGAGAAGGAGCATATCAATATAAAAGCAGTCTTCATTGGATTGTGTCTGTCCAATCATGGACTCTGATTGGGTGACAAGTATTGAGATAGGGCTGTTGTAGAATGGAAAGCTTGATAATTTCATGTCAGTTTCTTCTCATGATGGGGCTCCAAGAGACACCATGGCTTATCAGAAGTCATGAGAACACTCCGAGAACACCCAGACAGGCTGTTGGCACAGCACATGAGCAGAAGGGAAAGGGCCCTGAACTCAGCAGGCCAGAAAATAGACAAGGTGGCCTTGAGCCTGGCTGAGTCTGCTGCTGGGGTGCTCTTCCTTTAGGCAGTCCTGGAGCAAGCCATCTTAGTTAGAGTTTACTTGCTGTGAATTGTTACCCTGGGCAATGCTAATAGCTGTAACTGTAAAAAGGGATAAGATGGTACTGTCTTTGTCTGTTCAGGCTGCTGTAACAAAATACTGTAGGCTGGGTAATTTATAAACAACAAATGTATTGCTTATGGTTCTGGAGGCTGGGAAGTCCAAGATAAAGGCACCAGCAGATTCATGTCTGGTAAGGGCCTGTTTCTCATGGATGGTGCCTTCTGTGTGTCCTCACATGGCAGGAAGGGCAAACAGCTCCCTCGAACGTCTTTTATAAAGTTGCTAATCTAATACGTAAGGGCTCTGCCCTCGTGACTCAATCACCTCCTAAAGACCCCCTCTCTTATTATGACTTTGGTGATTAAGTTTCCACATACGAATTTTGGGGGGCATATTCAGATTGCAGCAGGTACCCACCCCCTAAAGTTGAGAGGATAACACCACCCAACATCTTAAGCTGACCTACATGAAACTGCTGATATGCAACTGCTTTTCAACATTCACAACTGGCAGTTTCATAGGGGCCCACTGAATTAACCCATGATAGTTACACTAGAACAGCAACTCACAAACTTGTCTGCAACTTAGAATTACTTCTGGATCTTCGAAAAATTCCAAAGCCCAGGTCACACCCCACACCAATGCAATCACAATTTCTGCAGGTGAGACACCTAGCCAGGTGATCTAATGTACAGGCAGGTTTGGGGACCACTGGTTTAGCACAAGGCCTGGGATCTAGTAAAGCGCTCAGCCAACACGTCTGCTTTTGATTCATCTATCATTTATTGAGCACCTACTGCATGCCAGGCTCTGGCTGGGTTCACCTCTTGTCACCTGGGCCTTCCTCCCCAGCGGTGCTCACGTCTCCCCTCCTCCTCCTCCGCAGTGTCCAGGCCACGCAGCTCCCCTGACGACCTGAAGGCCCTGACTCGCAATGTGAACCGGCTGAATGAGAGCTTCCGGGACTTGCAGCTGCGGCTGCTGCAGGCTCCGCTGCAAGCGGACCTGACGGAGCAGGTGTGGAAGGTGCAGGACGCACTGCAGAACCAGTCGGACTCGCTGCTGGCGCTGGCGGGCGCAGTGCAGAGGCTGGAGGGCGCGCTGTGGGGGCTGCAGGCGCAGGCGGTGCAGACAGAGCAGGCAGTGGCCCTGCTGCGGGACCGCACGGGCCAGCAGAGCGACGCGGCGCAGGGAGAGCTGTACCAGCTGCAGGTGGAGAGCAACAGTAGCCAGCTGCTGCTGCGGCGCCACGCAGGCCTGCTGGACGGGCTGGCGCGCAGGGTGGGCGTACTGGGCGAGGAGCTGGCTGACGTGGGCGGCGTGCTGCGCGGCCTCAACCACAGCCTGTCCTATGACGTGGCCCTCCACCGCACGCGGCTGCAGGACCTGCGGGTGCTGGTGAGCAACGCCAGCGAGGACACGCGCCGCCTGCGCCTGGCGCACGTGGGCATGGAGCTGCAGCTGAAACAGGAGCTGGCCATGCTCAACGCGGTCACCGAGGACCTGCGCCTAAAGGACTGGGAGCACTCCATCGCGCTGAGGAACATCTCCCTTGCCAAAGGTACCGCCAGGCCCTTGCTGCCTCCATCCAGGGCCCCTCCTGATGGGGTCTTCCTCCTGCATGCCCCTCCCCAAGGACCCAGGAGTACCCCACCCCCACCCCATCCCCAAGTGCACTTGCCATTCCCAGCCCATACTCTCTTTTAGCCTATACTCTCTCTTTTAGCGCATACTGTCTCTTTTAAGTCTTGCCCTACAGGACTCTGGAATTTTCTGTCCAGATGGCATGTACTCACTTCCAGGGCTTGCACAGATCTCTTCCCAGATAAACTTCCCTCGGGTAGAGAGCAAACTCAGTGGCCACTCTTCTAGGTGTGAGAGTTTGCCCCAGCGGTGGCTAATGGGAGCCTGGTGGTCAGAGCTGGCATAGCTGTGCTGGAGCCTCCAAGAGCTTGAGGCTGGGGGCAGAACAAGGGGCTCAGGCCGGGAGTAGAGAAGGGCTCCTCTAGTGTCATTCCCATGGTGGAGTTCTGGAGTTGGAGAATTCCAAACTTGAACCTGGCCTTCTAGGCTCTTACAAAGACTTACTCATTTAGGCAAAAGAATGTATTTCATTGAACGATCTGTTGGCTTCATTTGTAACTGTTTTTTGTTTTTGTTTTGTTTTGTTTTTGTTTTTGTTTTTGTTATCGTTTTTATTTTTGTTTTTTGAGATGGAGTCTCACTCTGTCGCCCAGGCTGGAGTGCAGTGGCGCAATCTCAGCTCACTGCAAGCTGCGCCTCCCGGGTTCGTGCCATTCTCCTGCCTCAGCCTCTGAAGTAGGTGGGACTACAGGTGCCCTGTAACTGGTTTTTTTGTTGTTGTTTTGTTTTTTTGTTTTCAAGTTGGGCTCTGGCTCTGTTGCCCAGGCTGGAGGGCAATGGTGTGATCACGGCAGCCTTGAACTCCTGGGCTTAAGTGATCCCCCAGCCTCAGCCTCCCAAGTAGTTAGGACTACAGGTGCATGCTGCCATGCCGCGCTACCTTTTGTTGTTGTTGTTGTTTTGTTTTGTTTTGTTTTGTTTTTTTGAGACGGAGTCTCACTCTGTCAGTCAGGCTAGAGTTCAGTGACATGATCTTGGCTCACTACAACCTCCACCTCCCAAGTTCAAGTGATTCTCCTGCCTCAGACTTCTGAGTAGCTGGGATTACAGGTGTGTACCAACATGCCTGGCTAATTTTTGTATATTTAGTAGAAGACAGAGTTTTGCCATGTTGGCCAGGCTGGTCTCGAACGCCTGACCTCACATGATCCCCCTGCTTCAGCCTCCCAAAGTGCTGGGATTACAGGCATGAGCCACCACACCTGGCCAGTTTTTAAAAATTATTACTTTTTAGAGACAAGGTCTTGCTATGTTGCCTAGGCTGGTCTGGAACTCCTGGCCTCAAGTGATCCTCCCGTCTTGGTTTCCCAAAGTGCTGGGACTATGGCATGCCAGCCCATTTGTAATCTTAACTATAATGGCAAAAATGCAAAAATGTATGGGCCTCTGTTGTACTCGTGCCGTGGGCCCACAAATGATAGAGCCTAGAGACCCAACTCCCTTTCTTCACTCCTGACAAACTGGTTCCCTTCCCTCCACCCATTCCTTCTTGCTGCACGCACCATCGGAAACACCTTTCATGAAATGCACTTCTCCCACATCGCCCCCCTGCTCAAAGCCCACTGTGGCTCCCCAAGGCCCACTGGGTTCCTTAGAAATTCCTTAGTCTGCCATCAGCACAAATAATACCATTGTGAGCGCCTAGTATGTGTTACCTACTATGCCAGGTGTATCTCGTGTGCGCATCTTTTGAAAACAATGGCTCTCCAAGGGAGTGATGTTTTCCCTATTTTATTGACAAGCACACTGAGATTTAGGAAGCTTCCATAGCTTGCCCACAGCCACAGGGCCAGGAGGTGATGGACCAGCATGTACACGCCGGCCTTTCTGATCCCAGAGCGAGTGTACTTCCCACTGCTTTCCTATCCTGTCCTGCCTGCCTTCTCCTCCACTGCCGCTCATGCCAGGGGGCACAGAGAGAACTGCTTCAGGGGCCAGTGAGCAATGTCAAGGAGCAGAGACTGCAATGTCAGGGGAGTGTTAGGGGTTACGGCAGGTCTAGCCCATTTTTGCCAGGCTGGAAGGTGGGCCCAGGTTGGCAAGGTCTGCCTGTGTTTCAAGAGAAACCAGAAACATGTGACGCTCTGGTAATGTTTAATTGTTTAACTCAAGGGCCATACATGGTCTTGCCGTGGGTGAAGCATCCAGACTAGTGAGGCACATCTCGTCACTGCCCTGGAAGCACAGCTCACCTTCCCTACTGTCACAGCTGTGCTCCAGAGGCTCCTCCACCTGCAGTGCCCTCCTCCCCCTCCTTCACCTCCTCCTCCTCCTCCTTCACCTTCTCCTCCTCCTCCTCCTCTTCCTTCGCCTCCTTCTCTTCCTCCTCCTCCTCCTCTTCCTTCTCCATTCCCTCCTCCTCCGCTTCCCCTTCTTCCTCTTCCCATCCCCTTCTTCCTTCTCCTCCTCTTCTTTCTTCTCCTCCTTTTCCTCCTCCTCCATTCTCTCCTCCTCCTCCCTTCTCTCTTCCTCCTCCCTTCTCTCTTCCTCCTCCCTTCTCTCCTCCTCTTCCATTCTCTCCTCCTCCTCTATTCTCTTCTCCTCCTCCTTTTCCTCCTCTTCTGTCCCCTCCTCCTTTTCTCCTCCTCCTTTTCTCTTCCTTCTTTTCTCTTCCTCCTCCTCCTCTTCCTTCCCCTCCTCCTCCTTTTCTCCTCCTCCTCTTCTTCCTCCTCCTCCCCCTCCTCCTCTTTCTTCCCTTCCTCTTCCTTTTCTTCTTCTTCCCTCTCCTCTTCCCTTTCTTCCTTATCCTCTTCCTTCCCCTCCTCCTCCTCTTTATCTTCTTCCTCCTTCTCCTCCACCCTTTCTTCCTTCTCTTCCTTGTCTTCCTCCTCCTCCTTCTCCTCTTCCTTTCCCTGCTCCTCTTTCTCCTCCTCCTCTTCCTCCTCTTCCTTCTTCTCTTTCCCCTCCTGCTCCCCCTCCTCTTCCTCCTCCTTCTCCTCCTCTTCTTCCTTTTCTCCTCGTCTTCCTTCTTCTTCTCCTCCTTTTCTTCTTCTTCCTCTGCCTTTTCCTCTTCTTCCTCCTCTGCCTTATCCTCTTCTTCCTCCTCCTTGCCCACCCAAATCCTGCTGATACTCCAGGATGTCACTCAAACCCACCTCCTCCAAGAACCTCCCAACCTTTCCAGCTCCCTGGAGTCTCCCTCTTTTGAGTTTCTGCATTTATCAGAGCAAAAGTGTAATGATGGGGCCCTCTGCATCCTTTCCAGTTTGCATAGCCCTTTTTTGTACCCTCTTTTGTTTTAAAATGGGACCTGAGGAGAATCTATGAGGTCGTTTAAGGCAGATGTTGTAGAGGGCGGGGTAGGATTTTGGCAGGAAAACAACTGAGGCTCAGGAAGGAAGTCCCTGCCTTACTCAAGTCCTCATGGCTGGTAATGATCCAGCTTTAATAAGGTGTAATTTACGTGCCATGAAATTCCCCCATTTTAGGTGTACAGTTCAATGATCAGGACATTTAAGCCCATTGCCCGGTTCTCATTCTGTTACCCCATAGTCCACCTGGATCTGGGTGCCTCTGTGTCCCCCAGCATTAAGAGTGCAATGCACATAACTGAGACTCAATATTTGTAAAAGCAACTATTAAATCTTGACACTGGGCAATCAGAGGCTTCCCCTATCCAGTTTGGTTTCCTGGTTCTGGGTCTCTTTGGACCTTCACATCCTAGAAATCAAAGGAGGGAAGGAGATAGAATTTCTTCTTCCAAATCCGTGCCCCTGGGATCTTAGCTTTTCCTGTCTTCTTTTTTCCTTGACCTCCCTTGCCCCTCACAGGGATTAGTGTTCAGGAACTAACTAATAGTATTAAATAGCAATTGCAGTGAATTGTCACCTATAATGAGGCAGGCATTTTGTCGACATGAATTCTCAAATAGACATTCAAGACCACAAATCCTCACATCCTGCAAAAAGGTCTTATTGCCCACTTTATAGATGAGAAGCCTGAATAACCTTCCCACTGTTTCTTAGACAGCTGGCGAGTGGTAAAGCTGAGGTCTAAATTGGCTCTGCCTGGCCCAGAAACCCTGGTTGTTGGGACAGAAGCATGTTGCTTCCCAGCTGTAAGCAGTGAAGAGAGGAGAGCACGTTCCCTGTATTCGGGGCACTTTCCAGTCCCTTCCTCTTCCAAGCTAGAGATGTCACCATGCCTCCTGCTAATGTACCCTCTCAGGCCTCCCCAGGCACTTCATATCTGGGTTCTTTCGTTTCTAAGTCCAATCTCCTTGGTTCAAACTGAAACCGCCCTGGGTCACTCATTTGCCGGGGTTCTGCCGGTGGGATCCTCCATGTAGTCTTTCCTTGGTCCTCACACTAAGTTTTACACTCAGTTCTCTTGAACTGAAAGTTTCATCTCAGTCCTGCTTTCTTGTCTTTAAGCTTTGGATTCTTGTGGGGTGTATCTCTCTGTTGAGGCTGCCATAACAGAATACCATAGACTGGGCCATTTACAAGCAACAGATGTTTATTGCTCACAGTTCTAGGACTGGGAAGTCCAAAATCCAGGGGCTGGCAGAGTTGGGGCCTGTTTGGGGCCTGTTTGGGGCCTGCTTTCTGGTTCATAGATGGCAGCTTCTTGCTGTGTCCTCACTTGGTGGAAGAGATGGAGCAGCTCCCTGGAGTCCTCTTTATAAGGATGCTGATCCCGTTCACAAGGGCCTCATCCTCATGACTCATCACTTCTCAAAGGCCCTGCCTCCTGATACCATCGCCTTGGTGATTAGGTTGCAACCTATGAATTTGGGGGTGGGGTGCAAACATTCAGATCACTGCACTGGAGCTCCTGGCTCTTCACAGTTGTACAGCACTTGGGCCTCCAGCTCTCATTATCGCCACTGCATCTAGGGTCTTTCCTGCCTCCCTGTCTCTGTTGCCAGGTGCCTGGTGGTTATTATTTAAAAGATTCCTGCTGGTATATCTGAAT